ATATACAAGGGTTTACTGAGTGTGAAAGAATAATAAAAAAAGAGAAGCATTATTAAGGAGTAAGAACAATAGAAGAGTAATCAAGGAGACAGTAGATAACCATTGCCATTGCATTTAAATTTTTGAAGAACAAAGTTAAATGTAAATCATGGAGCCAGGGGAGAGTTCCACGAGCGAGAAGTGCGATTAAAGAAACTGAGTTTTGGTACCATAAGGAGTTCATCTAAACAGTTACCAAAATGAAAGTATTTATAGAAAAGGCAGAGGAAAGCTACATTACGGCTGTGAGAAAGTGACTGAAGCCAAGATGCCAGATCAGGACCAATATTATGCGTTAAAGAATCGTGGGAGTGTATTAAGTTAAATGCTTTCATGGTTAATTATAAATATTTGAATGCTTCTATATAAGCACGCATATAAATCCACATTTGTCTCTTTGCACTGAATAGACCTTTGATGTAATTTCAGTCATATGACTTTGTGTATCTGTATCTTGTATTCATTTTGAAGCCAGATAATGTGTAATCATATTTAAATGCAAATAGATACATCACTGTTATTAGATGAATATGAGTTTATCGATTTGTATACGAATTTATGTATTTAAAAAAGGCTAAAAATAATGAAAGCATTGATATTTAAAAAAAGAGTCTAACACTTAATAACATCAACTATAAACACGGACACAATGTGCTGACCGTGTTTGGAAAATAAAAGTATAATTCTAGATGCATATATAAAAATCTAGACATTCAGTTACGAATAAAAATTTAAAAAAGAACATCTCTGACAACGGCTAATAGAATGGCCGAAAGCGCTTGAACATATATCGAGCATTCGGATAGTTTTTACACACTTTATGTCCAGAAAACTCTTATACCAACACAAGAAAAATTGAATAAAAAGCTTTGTCAGTTGTCTTTAATGAAATATGTATAAAAGAGGACTTGTTGCCCAAATACAAAATTATTTTAGTATTTGTATATGTGCTTGGTGATGTGTAATATCATTGTGGATATGAAATGGATTACGTAAACGAGTACACATGAATTAGTATGTTGCCAAATGACTTTTCTGTTTACATTCAACACATTGACTCCCCCGTCGTGTATGCACTGATACTCATATTGTTCGTATATTGCACGACATTGTGTATTTAAATAGAGTTTGATTCTAGGCAGTAAATACCAAAATCAAAACATTTAAGAAAAATACTTAAGATGGCAATCCCTTTATGCATATTGAGATGGAACAAATCAACAAAATTTAATATCTCCCGCCTCGATTTTTTTTTATTCTGTCATGTCAAAATTGAAAGTTTTTTTCGATATCTTAACTTGACTTGACTCAAGGCGTGATGACGAAGCCTATGTGAAGGGGGCTCGCGTATAGAAAATTCTTGGTGGGGGAGAAAAGAAAGGAAGGCGACAAAAGCTGTGAAATAAAGAAAGAGAGAGTAGAGATTGTGGATGAGGAAAGGCGGATATAAGAAAAAGGAGACGACCAATAGAAAACTATGAGAACGAAAGTTCAAGAAGAAAAAATAATGTGATTAATACAAAGAAAACAATATATATATCTATATATGAGGCACGGTGGAGTAACGGCTTGGATTGAGGAATCGCAGAGCCGAGTTCGAATTCCAGTCGAATCCATTACATTCACTTACGTGCTAATACTGGGTTCTATAGCCTTGGATGGCAACTGGTCTAGGAGAAGGACAACTCTGAATTCAAAACCTGCGGAGGGTCGTTTGGGAACCTTGTGGCATGCAATCGGTGCACCAGGTTTCTTTATTCGTCCCTCCAAAAAGTGTGGCTGGTCCTGCACGAGCCCTTCACCACTATAATCAAATCTCATGTGCCGGTGTCGGGATGTCGGTTTCCTGGGGACTTATCGGCCTGACCCTCATACGTCGAACGCGACGGGAGAGTCGATTATATATATTATTTTTGTATGCGAGTAATTAGTGGAAAGTGATCAATATCAGTGATAGAGCTACAACGTAAAATGTTAGCCGAAACTCATAAACTGAAGACCCCGTATAAACGGGGTCGGGTCTATCTGCCTCCCCGAACGAGACTTTGCCCTTCGGCATAGCCTCGTCCGGGTTCCTCTCTGTCCTCAGGCAGAGAGTTCGAGAACAGCTCCAGCTTCTTATCTACCTAAACTTCAGATAGCCAGTAATATTTACCGACCTCCCCACGAGGTGTCACAATTTTACAAGCAAACCAAACTCGCACGGTAGATCATCCAACCAAGATCTAAAATGGCCTCATATATATATATATATATATATATATATATATATATATATATATATATATTGTATGCGAGTAATTAGTGCAAGGTGCTCAATATCAGCTACAACAATATATATGTGTGTGTGTGTGTCTGTGTGTGTGTGTGTGTTATGCGTCTTGATTCTTTGGGGAACATAGAGCCGCAGCAACACCTCTCCAACGGATGCGATTTCGGGCGATGTTCTTCAGCTCATGCGGTGCCAGCTGCCTTCACCACCGCCTCAACACTTCTGCGCCAAGTCTGTTTTGTTCGACCCACTTTTCGCTTCCCTTGTGGATTCCATTCAAGGGCCTGCCTGCCTGCCTGCCTGCCTGCCTGCCTGCCTGGTGACAATAGAAGCAATGGTAATCGCAATTATAAAGGCAATATTAGTCGTTTCCTCATAAAGAAACATTCGACATTCATTGACCGAGTAGCAAATACTACTGTCGGTTGAAATTTATGAAATTTTTCACTTAAAACAATTTTTCATGAAAATAACATCTCCGTTCTTTCAACTAATCAAGGGGGGGTTCCGTCCTAAACTTTTTTTCGAACTAATGTGGGACGTCAACATTTTGACTATATCAGTATTTTATCGTCGTGTTGCATGTGCTATCCATTTTAGTTGTTGCTGTTGTTGAAAGTCCTCAAGTGATGTGGTTCCTGTTATTGGATTCAGTACTTTGTGATTCTATACCACCAATTCAAAAAGTTGGAAGAAAAATTGTCCTGGATAAGAATTACCGTCTTCCTTCGCTGGAAGATATCTTTAACCATTGATCTGAGAAAACGGTTGTATACAGTTGACAGTTTAGATATTTTGGCACCATGATGGCATCCATATATAAGTCCCTATCTGACAAATCTATTAAGAACACAACTCGAATTTTTAGGTTATTTTTTTGGTCTTGGCTATAAGCAACTGATATCAAAGAAAGATTCAATATATCTTAGTCTTTTACTGATGCCACTAAGCAAGTGAATAACAAAGATATATACTTAGCCTTAGGGGCACCCAAAGGATCTAATACATAATAATAAAAGAAGCTACCACGAGGTGTTCCAACTGGTTATGGCGCATGACGATAAACTACAACACTCTTCCAACTGTGGTATTTTGTCTTTTGAGTAAGAGATGAGGTTTTACTTAAAAATAAAAGATTGTCTATAAGTATATATATATATATGGAGGAGGGCGTGTGCGTATTTGAGCATTTCGTCAGCAACCCCTCATCAATACATGTTTGCTTGAACAAGGCCTCTGATCGGGAGATTGTAGGTTTTGAGGAACGTAGAACCACCTTTTAATTACTGATGTTGTCAGGTCCACTGTGACCCAGTGTGGTAGCAACTATTAGGGTATGGGAAGATAGTGAACTCCCAATCAAAAATCAGTATATTTTCATAATAAAATGACCAACAATATATTTTTATAGCAAAATGACAATCAGTACAGAACTAAAATGATAAAAATATAATGTTGTGGATTCCGGGTTGAAATCCGGTACCAATAATTAACAAACTCCAGGAATGAATATATGAAAAAAACGTATTAACGTAATAATACAAACTGGTAAAGCAGGTTAGTAGTTCCAGGAATACGGGTTAGTAGCAAAATATATATACAGTCTTTGGTATTGAAGTATCGCTATATTACTTCTTACTGAGTCTATGTGCTCGCTCACTGTGACTCCTACAACGCTGTTATCTCACCCTCACTCTTCCGGTTACCTACAACCTTTTACTCCGTCACTTTGGACTCGACTCTTCGGTCTCCTCTGCCGGGTCTTCATGTAGCCGTAGTATATGTATATACTGGGTGAGTCCATTTGTGAAAAAAAGGGGAGGACCCCTCAACATATATTTTTATCGAAAATTAACTACAATACATTTTATGATCTACAATCTATATATCTAAAAAAAAATACCTTTACGCGAAAAGTATAAAATTATGTATAAAATATAGTCAGTTGAAGTCATAAGGCATTCAAAATATTTAAATTTCGACATCAAATAACCCATAGAAGTTGATATGCCGCTAAACAAAATCAACAATCAACAACCACGAGGCGCCTAACGAATAACAAAGATGAAAAATGAAAAGTAAAAAACAGCCACAGAAGATCGGAAGAAGAAAAGAAAACGTTCGGTGGCAAGCAGGTAAAGGAACAATTTGATGTGTTCAAAGCTATCGTAAAACAGGAAAGCTTTGTCGATGCAGAAATCGGAAAAGGAAGATTAACAGGAGACAGCGAATGTAGACAGGAAAAAAAAGGATTATGGATGTCAGAGCCTCTGCTAATAAAGGTAACATCAGGCAGAAGATGGATGCTAAATAAAAGAAATATGACGCGGAAATTGAGACGACAGAGAACAAAATAATTGTAGATGTGACAGAGAAAGCAAGATATGTTGAAGTAGAAATATAAATGGAGTGATGAAGCCTAAAGTAACAGTGGAAGGAAAACGGGCTGCAAAACGCAATGCATATGTTGAAGAAAATAAATGACAGAAAAAGTGTGGGTGTTCAGCGGGTGATAGATTAAAAGATGCTGAATTCTTGGATAATGTGGAGGAGTAAATAGAAAGGAAGAGACAAATGGAGGCGATAAATGAATTCATTTACTCCATTGACAGTTGTTATATTGAAGATATAAAGCATGGAGCTTTAAAGATAAGGACAGGCAAAATGAATTGAAATATTGGAAAATTAGAACGGCCATGTATTTTCCTTATCTATCTATCTATCTATCTATCTATCTATCTATCTATCTATCTCCGACTCTTTCTATATCTCTCACGATCCTTCTCTCTAACACTCTCTCTTTCTTTCCCTCCCCTACCGTCTATCTTTCACAGATTATCTCTCTTTTTTGCTCTCAATCTATTTCTCACGCAACCTTTCACACTTACTCTTTATTGCTCTCCCCTTCCGTCTATCTTTTCCAAATTCTCTCTCTCTTTCTATCTAAATCGATTTCTCTCGCTCCCTTTCTATATCTCTAAGTCTCCTTCTCTATCACAATTTTTCTTTCTCTCCTCTTCCATCGATTTCACTCCAATTCTGTCTCCCTCCCCCCTCTCTCTCTCTCTCTCTCTCTCTCTCTCTCTCTGTGCAATTTCTTCTCTTTCACTGAGAGTAGACGTTTAAATTTTCATTTGAAATCTTCCAAATAAACAAAAGGATACTGAAAAGTTCTCGGCCCAATCCAATTCGTGATAAAAATAAAATTATAGATGGATGACCGCATGACCGAATACAAGGTGCCATAAATTTGGACGTGCGGGTGGTGTAATGAATAACAGCTCGGAATGAGAAATCGGAGAGCCGAGTTCGAATTCCAGTCGGGTTTGATATATTCACTTATGTGAAAATGGCCTCGAGAAGAGTATGAATCCACTTCTTCTCCCTCCAGCTATGGGTTAAATAGTAAGATTGTATCAAAAAATCATTATTATCAGATAAAAAAATCTTACAATCAAAAAAAAATGTTTCGGCTTTAAATAACTTTAAAAAAGTTGGTAAAAAAAAATCAATCAATAAAAAATATCATTAATTTAATTACTGATTTGGGGCCGAAAACTTTTCAGCATCCTCTGATAGCACTACTAATTACGTCAGAGATGGAATTTTTAGAAGTCTTAGTGGAATGCAATATTTTTTTTAACAGTAATTTTTTCTCCTCTATATTTTATTGATTCTTATTTGGACATTTTTTCTTAATATCATTTTATAAATCAATATATCATCTCAGAAATTAAGTTTCATTGTAAAAATGGTTCTTTTTCTCACCGTAATATAAAGTAATCTTTTTTTCTCACCATAATCTGACTTTTGTGGATTTCACTTAAGAATTTTTTGTAGTCACGCTTATAGTCCTTTTCTCGTTGTCTGTTCATATATTTGTAACGCTTGCGATATTTGCCGACATTTACACTAATTCTAAGTCCCTTAATATTAACTGAGTAAATGTTTGTTTACACAAGAACCAACCTAATATTTATCCATTACATTGTTAACGACAATAGAAAAAGTTCGTTTGCTTTTATTAGTAAAAACAACTCTGATTACGTGATATTATACATTTTCATTTTCGAATTTATTATTATGTGCCGTGTCACTTCATGACATAGACAATCATGGCCCTCCACATCTTCCTGTCCCTTGTAGCTCTTAATAAGTTTTGTCTTTTTCTTATTTCTCCCAAATCCTGTTCTGCCATCCATTTGCTCAGCTCAAGTATGTTACGTTCGACTTTCCTCTGTCCCTCTTTCTCTGAGTTTGTCCTGTGAGTATCAGGTTTTCCTAACCCTCCTTCCACACGTACCCCAGAAAAGAACAAATCCACCTCTTCTCCGGCCATGGTTAAATAGTAAGACTTATGTCAGAAAATCATTATAATCTCAAAAAAAAACAAAAAAACAATTGAAATCTAAAAGTATAATTTGGCTTTAAATAACTTCAAAAAAGGTTGATAATCCGTAAAAATAAGACAGATCAATTAATCAAGGAAAACAGAAACGAAAACGGACACACACTTAGAATCGGAAAGAGATAGTTGAAATCTCTGGAAGATAAAATGAGGAAAGAATCTTTGGAGAAAGAGATACTCAAGGCAAGAGGAACAGAGAGAAACAGTGAATAACCTACTTAACAGAGAGAAGGCAAATACCTTACCATGAGTAGATTGATATCAAAAGAGGGAGTGGGATATATAGCAAAAAGATACGCATTCCTAAGTGCTACAAATAATAGGAATTTGTGGAAAGTCCTGATTACTCACCTCCTGATGGGACACGACACGTAAAAGATGGTCTATTTTATTATAGAAAGTCAATGTTTTTACAATAAATTGATATTAACCAACAGATATTGGTAGATTTTTCAGTATATAGTTATATTTATACGATAAATATACCCTGGGAATTTCTGATTATAGTATCTGTATTTATTAGAAATATTTGCTCTAACTAATTTGGTGGTGTGAGATTTTCAATTGAGTGTCGCCATATTGTAAATATTGGCAAAATAATAAGAAAAACAATTGAATTTAAGAGTTTCACAAAAATGAATTTGTGAAAATCTTTGAGTGGTACATTATACATTCTGGAAGCATTAACCTACAGACTACGTTCTTTCTTGTCAATGTTCCTTCAAATTTAACAAAGCGGACGACGGCCATATTTCGAAACAACTTTCAAAGATAATAAACTAATGAAAATGTTTCAATGTTTCCATATATGTTATTGCAATAAGAATCTTGCGGTTCATTACTAAAACAGATGTATAAGAGAATAGAAAACGAAAGATATATATATTAGAATGTAAAACTGTTGTGTCCTTAAAGATGTTACAAACAGACAAAGGTGTTACTCGAGTGAAGGAACGGCAGGAAGCACGTAGATGAAAAAGAAAGGTTTATTGTAAAAGAGAATACACTACTGAAAGACAGGGAATCGATTAGCAGGCTAGTAATTCCCGAAGCAAGATTATTTAACTTGTCACTCCTCGAAGCAGGATAGAACACAAGGCCGTTTTTTAATGCGGGGGAAAATGGAACCTGTAGACTCGAGCAAAAATTCCCCGTAGACCCCGTATACACAGGGTCAGTTAGCTGTCTGCCACCCCAGACGAGACTCTGCCCTTCGGCATAGCCTCGCTTGGGTTCCTCTCTGCCCGAATGCAGAGAGTTCGATCAGCACAGCTGGAGGAAAATCTTCAACTAATTGCCGAAAAAAGGTTACCTTACCTCCCCGCGAGGCAGGATGTGGCACAAGGCCGTTATTTTAATGCGGGAAAAACCGAGCCCATAGGATCAGGCAAAATTTCCCCTTAAACTCCGTATACACTGGGTCGGGTAGCTGTATCCCACCCCAGACGAGACTCTGCCCTTCGGCATAGCCTCGCTTGGATTCCTCTTCGCCCAAAGCCAGAGAGTTCGATCAGTACAGCTGGAGACGAATCTCCAACTAATTGCCGACGAAAGAATATTTACCAACCGCCCAACGCAGTTAGATGTGGCACAAAGTCGAATTTGACAAGGTGTATCTAAGACCGTAGGCTCGGGCAAAATTTCCCCGTAGACTCCATATAAACGAGGTCGGGTTGCTGTCTACCACCTTAGATGAGACTGCCCTTCGACATAGCTTCGTCTGGGTTCCCCTCTCCCTGAAAGCAGAGAGTTCGACCAGCACAGCCTGAGACGAATTTTCAACTGATTGCCGTTTTTTAACGCGGGGCAAAATCAAACCCGTAGGCTCGGACAAAAATTCCACGTAGACCTCGTATTCTAGCGGGTAAGTTAGCTGTCTACCATCCCAGAAAAGACTCTGCACTTCGGCATAGCCTCGTCTGGGTTCCTGTCTGCCCGAAGGCAGAGAGTTTGACCAACACAGCTGAAGACGAACTAATTCCCGAAGGAAGTTCCCAGGTATATGCTGTGCTCACTATATATAGCTACTGATATAGTTAGTCCACATGTGCGATAGGGAGTGTGGGACATTCCATTAAAACACAAACAAAAGAGATGTATATGAGATTGGAAAATAAAAAAAGTTTATCTAAAAACAAAAGAGATGAATATAAAACTAGATATCAAAAGGTACGTATACAAGACTGGAAAACAAAAGAGCTGTATATGAAAATGGAAGACAAAAGATATGTATATGAGAATGGATATCAAGATAAAAAGCTTTGAGAATCTTTAAGACCTTCTGAAAGTAATTTAAAAAGAAAAGTTAACAAAATAATGTACGAAAAACTGTTGAAAATTATAGAATATGAAAAAAACGTGTTCTGACATGTAAAACTATAAGAAAATTATTTATTCAATGCATTGGATATTATGTACATCAAATATACAGTTCTAATGATTATAACTTTTGGATTTATAAATATAAATTTATATTGCATTTTCTTTGCCCAACGATCCCCCAAAACAATTTATTTTCAATAAATTTAATAACGATAAATATTATAAACTGAAATGGATGCTAAATATTGATCATATAGATATATCCTGGGAATTTTACTGACAATACTAAGTTAATACAATTTTAATTATGAAAACGTTGACTTGTATAATAATATTTTCTTTATCAAATTAACCCCAAGCAAGGCGATAATGCTACTAAGACGCAAGGAGTTACTAGAAGTGAAAGAAAATTAAAAAGCCATTAGAAGGAATCGGAAAACCAATTCTGAAACAAGAAACAAGAGATAAACTTCTACTTTTGTATGTGTGTGTATATTTGTTAACGTTTGCGTATGTGATAGCATATTTTGCTCTTAAAGTTTATTCAAGTGTGTCAGTATGATCCAGTCCACTTCAAATGATATGGACCACTCGTCCAAGAAGGCTGACAACTCTTCTTCTGAATGGTTACATTACCATGCCACTCAGCCTTTAGTTGCGTAATATATTTACTGTACGAAGAACTTTTCTTTTTCATTTATGTTACTATGATTAACTCTATTAATTCATATCTGTGAACCAAAGTTGTTCTTCTATGCTACCTTTTATGCGATTGCTCCTCGTAATATTCTTTTATGTTGTGCAAGTGTAGATTTTCGCCCAAGTACTTATAGGCCTGTTATTGTTAAGTAAGACAGCGCCATAAAGGCCAACAATAGACTCACTCATTGAGGCAGACGTCATCATTTTAACAGTTACACATTTAGACGTCGACGGTGAGTTCGAAATCTGTTGTATTTGGCTGCTAACCTTAACATATTTAGAATGTCGCGTCCAGATAAATGGCATCTGAACTCTGTTTCTAAAAACTAAATAAATAAATAATGCCTTTTCATTTACTCAAAGACCAGCTGTTGAATCTTTGGGAATGTTTCCTTGTGTTACACTTTCTATGTGGATAAATATAAATTATACCTGTAAGCGAATATACGCTTTTTATCCTTTCTGGCCATTTTTTTTTTTTCAAATGATAAACTTGTTATTCTAAAGAGTTGTACTTTAGGATCGAAGAGTAATTTTCTTAAAAGATTTCAAATATTAACTCTATCATATACAATATCATGAAGTGGAACGATGACGTAGAATAAACTGCTGAATCTGCTAAGAAAGTGGGAATCTGTCTTACTTATTTAGAATTCTAACGTTCGTCCTTGCTTTGAATATTGCTACCAGATCG